TTCTCCTCTTGGATCTTGAGCATGCATGCATACGTGTCCAGCGTGAGTTTAAGACACTGGGTCTGGGACTTGAACCCCAGTCGATTACATGGGAGTACAGCGACATAGCCATTATGCCATCTGCTGGTCCCAGTTTTATGTATTTTTCATTTCTCCTGGGACAATGATTAGATTCTGTCTTAGGATTCTAGACATATTATATCTTCAGTATTGCTTAACTAAAATTTTTGGATTATACTGTGCTTTTTTTTTTTTTTTTTTTTTTTAAGAGATTTTCGCTATAGGGCACGTGCGCTCACCAGACAGACAGAGACATAGAGACAGAAAGCGAGAAATCACCCCCCAGGGGGGATGGTCATACCGCAATCCCTTCTCCATTCTCCTCTCGGGATCCTGGGCACGCACGCACACGCGCCTGGCGTGAGTTTTAAGCCACCGGATCCGGGATGCGAACCGTGGTCGACTATGTGGGAGTCCAGCGACATAGCCATTACGCTAACTGCTGGTTCCCCTATACTGTGTGTTAATGGTCTAAATTTTCATTGAGTTTTAGTTCAGTAGTGATACATCACTTTTCTAGAAATTTATTCTTTCTGCAAACCAGGCTGGTCATTCCAAATGGTATTTTTTATTTGTTTGTTTTTATGATTGAATTTTTAAATTCTTTAGACATTTCATATTCTTTGGTCTGGCTCTGGCTAGTTAACATGGACAGTCCCGTGGAGGCAGGTGTGGGTTTATTAGTTCTTCCTGTTAGCTTTTTCCAGGGTGTGCCTCAGATATGCTCAGTGATCGCTGGTTGTATGCTTGATAGTAATTTGTAAAAAATGTCCAGACCCAAATGGCTTTCCTCAGAGGACTGGGGTTACTTCTGCCTGCAGCCAGGTATTCCACCTCAAACGTCAGAGATCTAGTCCCAGTGCCAGGATTCTGAGCTTTCTGCAGTCTTTTATTTGATTGAATCTGGCATAGTTTAGGCATCTATATTATAAAGTGTGAACCAGAGCTTTTTTAGCGAATGAAAGGCAGAATTCTTATACTATGGGAAGAACATTACACATTATAGTATAAAATTGATGGAATTTTTATCTCTTTAAAAAACTAAATTTTATGTTTCTTTCTCCATTTATATTACCTTTGAAACTTCAATAGCTGTATGATTTTGTAATATCAATTTACATTATGCTAGCTTTACGTAATAAGTAAATTAGTAGAGGCTCATTGGATGGTCTTCTATCTGAAATCTTGTACTGTAGTGTAGATGTTGACTAGGCGGTGATAAGGGTCCCAGAATGGGATGTTAGTGAAATTATTAAATTTAAGTTAAACCAATCAAAAAGCTTATTTTTGTCCTTAAATAATATCTAAGATTTTTAAATTTTTAAAAATTTTTAAAAAATTTTTGCTTTAGGGCACTTGCCAGGGAGAGGCAGAGGGAAAGTAAGAAATCATCCCCCAGAGGGGATGACTATGGTGTAGTCCCTCGTTCCCCATTTTCCCCTTGGGATTTTAGGCACATATGTACATATGCCCAGCATGATTTTCAAGCCATTGTTTCTTGGACTTGAACTGCAGTTGGCTACCATGCCATCTGGTGGCCCCAAGAGTGAGTGTTTTAAATTTATTTAATTCTAGTAAAAAAAAAAAAAAAACCAAAAACTTAACAGATTACACAAGATTCATAATAATAAGGTAATGAGAAGCACCATGTCCAAATGAGCTATAAAACATGGAGCCAGTGGCTGTGTTGGTAAAGGGATTGGTTACAAAGAATTGTGATTAGCTGGATAGATAATAGTTTTGTAACTGAGGACATTGCCTTCTCTATTCTAATTTTCAAGGAAGGAGGTCTATATGTTACTGTATATTTACTCTTCAATTAAGAAATTCAAATTTCAGCATTATGATAAGATTAAAGAAACTGATTACAAAATGTTTGCCGATTAACGGGGAGAACTTTGGTAGTGAACCATAGCGCACATGTGCTTGCCAGAGACAGAGAGAGAGAGATAGCAAGAGAAAAAGAGAAATTACTCCCCAGGGGATGGCCACACCATAATCCCTTCTCCATTCTCCTCCCGTGCCTCTGGGCATGCAAGCATGCACATGTGCCCATCATGTTTTCCTTTTGTACAAAAGTTATTTTTAGATTTTTGCCATGGGGCATGTATACTTGCCTGAGAGAGACAGACATTGAGAGTGAAAGTGAGAAATCACCCCCCAGAGGAGATGGCCATGCCACAGTTCTTCTCTATTTTCATCCTGTGATTTTGGACATGCACACAAATGTGTCTGGTGTGATTTTCAAGCTGCTGAGTCTGAGACTTGAAACACAGTCAGCAACATAGAGTTCAGCTCCTCAACTATGTCCCCTTTGCCCCCCCACATGTTTTTCAAGCTATTGGGTCTAGGACTCAAACAGCACAGCCGGCCAAGTGGGATCCAGCTGCCTTAACCACCACACCACTGGCTGGTTCTCAACAGATTTTGTTATTGCTTTTCATGGTTGTTGTTTTGGGGAGACTTTCTACCAAGGCTTAGTAGAGAATGGGGGAGTAGTATATTACATCCTTTCTAAGAATTACTAAGTTTTATTTTCCCAAGATTTCATGTCCATCACCTTATTTAGTACACAAGCTACTCTGGGAGGGAGCTGGAACCCTCATGTTTCCATGAAGAAAGAATTGAAGCTCAGAAAACCATCCCACTTTCCCCTTGGAGAATGGCAGAGCTGGGGTTAGTCTGGGCCTTTTGCCGACACTCTTTGTTCCTTACTCGCTTCCACGTATGTCCACATGTCTAGGATGTCAAAGGATTCAGCCTCAGTTATTTTTGAAAGAAAGTGTCATCAGAAATAAAACTTAGATGTCTCCATATGTAGGAATTTCAGAGGGATATTTGTATCAAAATTTGCAAGCTCATTCAGTTTAAAAATGGTTCCTATAATATGGCGCTCATTTATTACTTCAGATCCATTGCTTCGGTAATGACTTTTAAATAGGACTCTATTATTAGAGTGATTGGACTGAAGTCTGATTGGACTAGAGTTAAGAGATTGCATCACTATAAATAGAGTGAGATAAAATATTTTACATAATTTCATTGAACTTTTATGAGGTTTCATAAGTTGGCATCTAGAATCTTCTTTAAAAGGATACTTTCTTTGACCACTTTGCAAACAGTGAACTTCTCATTTTGGGATTGAGTTGTAGATAAAGTGACTACTTAGGGGAATTTGGGAGTTAAATTATGTCCACTGGCATTTTCAATTATGTTACCTGAGGCAGAGCTTCATTAACTGCTCCATCAATAATTTTCCTAACCCAAAAGCTTGAATAAGTAAGATTAGCACAATGATAAGAGAATCATTTACAGCCCAAATGAATGCAGAGCAACTCTAAAAGCTTGTAGTATATGAAGGAAATGCTAGACTTTAGTGTATAAAGAGAATGTTAGGATAAGTTATATATTGAGGCCATTGGTGCAGTTACTGGAGAGCCCTAGTCGGTAGACTTGAATGAATCTAAAGCTCCTCTTTAGTGACTATGTAAGGAGGCTGAAAGGGCTTTGAAGGTTGCAATTGCCTTGTCATTACACAGAGATGTGTCCTGTCTCTGATATTTAGAAATTGATTATGAGAAACATACGTGGAAAAAAATACATGTTTTGTAAACATTTTGGGCCAGATTGTGGCACAGTGGTAATGCATTTGGATCCTGGGAAGATTCTTGGTTTGTATCCTGGGGTTTCTGTGTACACAGCAGGCATGTGTGCACGTGCCAGTGTTGGGGTGAGTGAAGTGAGGGTTCAGTTGCAGTGTGGTGATCCTGTTGGGGGTGCCTGTCCTCTCTCTCTCTCATGGAAGAAGGAAGTAAGTAAGTAAACAGATAAATAAATTTCTAGGTAGTTGTGTACTATAGTAAATAAATGGACTATAATGTGCTAAAAATCTCCCATCTTCACTGACCATTTTAGCTCTCAGAGCAGTGGCTCTAGCCTTTTCCCTTGCCCCCCCCCCCCCCCCCCACCCCCCATTCCCCTTCCCCCCCCCCCCCCGCCCCCTCTGTTTTTCTCTGCATTCCCATCATCAGCTCTGTAAGGGTACTGTTATAAAACTACATTATTCTAATTTTATTGATATTTGGATTATATCTTTAACAAGGCATTATGTGCTTAAGCTTTCTCATCAACACAAAGATTAATAGTTGAAGGACCAGTAGAAACACAGTGGTCTGTGGTTTAGAATAATGGTAACAGTTTTTTAATAACTAGTATTTTTTTGTTTTTTAATTTGTTAGAGGGTGTATGCTCTTACCAGAGAGAGACATGGAGACAGAAGGGGGGGCCAAGAGAGGGAGAGGGAGGGAGGGAGAGAGAGCGAGAGAGAGCCCGCACACCCCATGGGGAACATGGGATCTATATGGCATAACCACAATGCCACCGGCAGGCTCCAGTAATTAGAATGTTTGGAACTGTATTATTGTTATTTTTAAAGAAAATTTTATTTCATTTTTTACAATTTTTAATTTGACCGCAGAGAATCAGAGAGAGAGAAAGAGAATGTGAGAAAGCAAGCTGCCAGGTTTGGGACTTCAGCCATGTGAGAGCTCAGCACCTTAACCATCATGCCACCTGCTGGACTCAGGAAACTGTGTTATAATAAATTTAAACAGTTAGTATGAGGAGGCATGACAGAGATGTATTTAACAATTGTCTGACAGGAAGTGGTAAGTGGGCCTTAACTTTAATTTCTATTTGGAATCAGGAAGTTATCTGGTATGATTTTGTACAAGTAGTTACATAGAATCTCTTGCTGGTAGTAATCTTAGATTAATAATAATGGATTTTTGTGTGTGGCTCTTGGATAATGATTATGCTTTACATTTTATGGAATTAAAATGGTAAAGTGTAATGGTTTCAGCAGATAGTGGCTTGATTATTAAATATTATCTTTTTCAGTTTATTAACATTTGCTTTCTCTCTCTCATTCCTGGTTCCAGGGTGTGGATGAATGGAACATTGCTCGCCTAAATACCGTCTTGGATGTTGTTGAAGAAGAGTGCGGTATTTCTATTGAGGGTGTAAATACTCCTTATCTCTACTTTGGCATGTGGAAAACCACATTTGCATGGCACACCGAAGACATGGACCTCTACAGCATTAATTATCTCCACTTCGGCGAGCCCAAGTCTTGGCAAGTTACTCATTTAATATTTCTTGACTTTGTAGTTTTGAAATTTAGGCATTATACACATATTGAAGAGGACTCTGATTTGGTGGCTTCAGATTTATGTGAGGTATAAGGACATTTTTGATTGTCTTTCACCCTGCCCAGGGTTTTGTTCAGAAACCATGAGGCTGGTGACTTGTTTATACATGTTCCTTGCAGAACATTCGCTGGGCCATTGATTGCTAGATGTTTTAGTGCTGAAGAATTAAGCAGCTTGACTTCTTTGAGCATTAGTTGAAACACATCGGGGAGGCACAGAAGAAATGTTGATTTATTTGAAAATAATTATTTTTCTAATTTTATTTATTATTTTTTCTTAATTTGACCAGAGAGAGAAAGAAAGGGAAAGTAAAAAAGCAAGATGCCTGGTCGCAAGGAAGAAAGCAAGTTGCCCGGTCCCAGACTCAAACCATAGAAGACTATGTTGGAGTCTAGCTCCTTAACCACCATGCCACCTGCCAGCCCTAAAAAGTTGATTTCTAGATTAGTCTCCTTTAAATATAGTTCCATTCAGTATATGGGAACAGGAGGGACAGGAGTGAAAAATCAGGCCTGGTTACACCCCCTGATTGGTGTGAAGAAAACAATTAGACTGTTCACTTATTAACGTTAATATGTATTTTCAAAAGAAATTTACTAGAGGGCATGTGTGCCCATTAGAGGCATGCACGTGTGCACGTCCGCACGCACGTCCGCACACACATACACAGAGAAAAGAGAAAGAGAAAAGTGAGAAATTATCCTCCATAGGGGATGGTCATGGCCATAATCCTGTCTACTTCATTTCTCCCTCTTTTGGGGATACTGGGAATGCACGGTCATGTACCTGGTGTTCTTCCAGCTGCTGGGACCGCACCCTCCCAGTCGGCCATGACTTAACCATCACACCACCATATGACCCATATATGTCATTTTAGCTAGTTGTTTCCTGAGTTTTTGAGATTCTTCATCTTTGTGAGCAATGATTTTTTTTTTTTTAATCTTTTTTTTTTTTTTGGAGAGATTTTCACTGTAGGGCGCATGCGCTCGCCAGACAGACAGAGACATAGAGACAGAAAGCGAGAAATCACCCCCCAGGGGGGATGGTCATGCCGCAATCCCTTCTCCTCCATTCTCCTCCCGGGATCTTGGGCATGCACGCACATGCGCCCGGCGTGAGTTTTAAGCCACCGGGTCCGGGACACGAACCGCGGTCGACTATGTGGGAGTCCAGCGACATAGCCATTACGCTAACTGCTGGTTCCCGTGAGCAATGATTTTTAAGATGTGCTGTTTGTGAAATGCATTATATGGTACATTCACTACTTATTTGTAATTATTAGCTTATCAGTCAACCTGATGTATTTTATAGTTAGCCAATTCCTTCAACTCATTTTCCTTGTTTTTAGTCATAGAAGAATTTACATGTCAGATCCATTTTCCTTACCATAGGAGCATGCAGACTTACCATGCAGTTAAAAGCATACCAGTGATCTGCTGGGCAACCCAGGAAATGTGTTTCTGAGGCTTCTCAGCAGCATTGGTACTCTTCGGGAGTTTGTATCAGTCTACCTCTCTTGCCTCTAATTTGAAGATAATGACTTCAAGTCCAGTTCTCCTGTTGACTGAGATGTGAAATACAATGCACAGTATCAAGCTTCATCTTACCATTACTTCCCTTTGAGGTTTTATCATTTGGTGAAGTGTGAAGTTCCAAACCTTATCCAAAAAGTTTACATGTACTGAGTAATAAAAAATGACGTTTAATTGGGAGTAAGGTATTCTTTATTTAAATTGCCAAAGGATGTGTGTGCTCACCAAAGAGGAGGAGCAGAGAGAGAGAGACTGAGTTAGAGGGGAAGAAAGCACCTCCCCCCCCTCCCCAGGGGGGCATGGTCATGCTGCAATCCCTTCTCCTTCATTTTCTCCTACTGGGACTTCGGACATACACAAACTAGGTGGGTCATGTGGGATCTGGCTCTCTTGACTACTAGGCTATGGGACTGGCTTGGATGTAAGATTTTAGCTGGATGAGCAATGAATCTAGGACATATAAGAGAAATCCAGGCAGTTCCTAATTTGCTGTGGAGTTTTATGATCTAAAACAAAGTAAGGGAAGCTGTCATTTTAAGATGCATTGCTGCATGTTTCATTAGGTAAATTCTTAGCATTTTGCTATTGCAATGTCACAATCAAGCTGAACTATGCTAGGATTCAGAGGGCTTTGGGACAGAAGGGATTAGGCCATACTCAGGTGTTTGTGGAGACCTCACTATGAGTACATGCTTAAGGACCTGTGTGAGTCTGTCTGTCATATTTCTTTAACTCTACTGAGAATCTGTTGAATGCCATCCTTTAGTACTTCTGGGACTTAGCTTTGACAGACCGTGTGAAATATTTACTTTACTAATTTGTTAATTTTTATGAGAGAGAGAGGCATTTTGACAATGTTATGGTCCCCCTGCCCCATCCTCCCGGTTAGCTAGGACCACAGGTGCCTACCCTAACAGGTTGGGCCAGGAACCAAACCTGGTTCTCCCAGGTGGGCCCGGCTACCATACTGTGGTGCTCTGCTGCTTGCAGCACCTGGGGGTGCCTAGGAGACATATTTTAAACTGTGCATAGTCTCCTGGCCCGTTTCTCAGTGACATTGTTATCTTGATGATGTTTCTGACAATTTTTTCAGTGTGGATAAAATGAAGTGAAACAGATAAAATTCAACATGTAGCATGTGCCATCAGCTTTCTTTTAAGGAAGATGATTGTCTTAACTTCTCTTGGGAACAGGTTGATGTTGTTGCCTCAAGATCACTTAGAGAAGAATATTTCTTCAATGCAGGGATAAGACAGATTCTAGAGTCTTGTGTTCTTAAGATTTTAGTCTTGTGTCCTCACTGCTATTATGAATGAGAATAATTATGTCCTTGTTCAAAATATTTCTTTCTCCCAGCATGTATATTTTTAGCAGTTAATTACTTTATTAGTTATTAAGCATATAGACTCCATTATATGCATTAAGGCTAGATTTATATGATCACTATTATCTTTAACCTTGACTATTATTTATAATGATAAAATAATAAAACACAGCAGTGAGTTATGACAGCTAATCTACATTCCATTTTCTAAGATAACTGCTGTAGGAAAAGTGATATAAATGACTATAAGAATATTTCCCGGTAGATTTATGAAAGCTCATACTACCCTGCATACATAATTTTGAGGTAAACTTTATTATCACTAAAATTCATTTTAGTAATCATCATAACATAATAGAAGTGAACTTTGAAAGGTGGTAGAAGCAGTACATATTAGTGTAAATACTGGGAGGTAGGCAGTGTGCTCCGTACAGCTTTGACTGGATAGACCAACCATCAGAATCCTGTCATGCTTCTGATGTGTGGGGCATTTGATAAATAACAGTACTTCTGTGGACCCAGTTTTCCTACCCACAATATCACAAAGTCAGCCAGAATGATCTTCAGTGCTGATCTTCAGATCTTCAACTAATTTTGTAATTGGCGATCAGAGTCACAGGAATGATTTTAGCTACTTAGAATGAGCAGTTGCTGTAGCGAGGGAGGTTCTGTAGTCCAGTGTGAATGTGCACGTTTCTTGTCTGGTTGTCCTCCCCATGTTGCATCTACTCTTCACTCAGGGACATTTGCCTTTACATTTCTCTAGGAAGTGGCCTCCTGTGCAAGGCAAGTCTGTCCTTGTAGTGGGTTCTCTTCCTTCTCTCTGACCTCATTTTCATCTACTCCCTCCTCTTGGTACCCCGAAGTAGCAAGTTCTGGGTGTGATTGTTGCAAAGGTTCCCTCCTTACTTCTGGGTCCATGCTGCCCTCATCTGCCCTAGTCCAGTAGGGTTTGCCTGAAGACCCTTGCCCGCATGCTACTCCTACCTCAGGCATCTGTTTTTGTGTCTTACAGTGGTTATGGTCACCCCCTACCTCCACTCACAACCTCCCACCCCCAATTGCCTGAGCATGCCTTGAAGTTGGGGTCCTACTTTTTGCCTTAGGCCACCACGCTTAATAACTTGTGGGGACTGGGTAAAGGGTTGATGCCCTGTAAATCTCGTCTTGAATCAGAATAGTGCTAATCTATTTTGGCTAATCTATTCTCGGTAGGCAAGGAAACAGAATGTTTTATAAAGATTGTTGTCTAGAGAGTAACTATTAAGAACACCAAATTTCCTGAGATTCCTGGGTAACTGCAGATACATACAGCTCCAGGCAAAAGCCCTGAGACATACATTTCTAGCCACTATGTGTGGCAGATTTGCCAAGCAAGTATTTATCAATACAGGTTTGTGTTGATGAGACCATAGAGGACTTGAATTATTTACACATTTTTGACATGAAGGTTTAAGGAAAATAGAATCCTTGGAGTAAGCAGATAGAAAACTGGTTTGGCATTCAGTGGTTAAGTATTTATTTTCTTGGAATGAATATTGACTTGATAGCCTACGGACTTGTTTTAAAATCCCAATGTATCACTTACCAACTGAGTGACTAGGGCGAATCACTATACTCCTTCTTTCATTGTGAGTTTCTTTTTTTTTAGAGAGGTTTTCGCTATAGGGCGCGTGCGCTCGCCAGAAAGACGGAGACAGAGAGACAGAAAGCGATAAATCACCCCCCAGGGGGGATGGCACACCGCAGTCCCTTCTCCTCCATTCTCCTCTTGGGATCCTGGGCACACACGCACACGTGCCTGGCATGAGTTCTAAGCCACCGGGTCCGGGACGCGAACCATGGTCGACTACGTGGGAGTCCAGCGACATAGCCATTACGCTAACTGCTGGTTCCCCATTATGAGTTTCTTTAACTGCCAAATGGAGGAATGATTTATTCTCTTTCAACTTATAGTACATCCTGGAGAGTCCAGGGCTCTACTATGTATGAAAGTGTTTTATAAACTATACAAATATTCTTAACTAATATTATTTTCATAACTTTATGAAAATAAATCATTCTTCAG